TATGGAAGATAATGATGAATGAAGTAAATCCAATCATTCAAAGAAATATGAGATGTATTGTTATGAAAGTGATTGAGAGTTGTTATGAAATGAAGAAAGACACCACAGAAATACGACAAATCATCGATAGAAAAACATGTGATATGGATAAAGTTATTGAACTGGCATTGAAATATAAAGATGAAAGAACAATATTGATGATTAGAAGAAAGAAAGGAGAAATTAAAGAATGTTTTAGAAATCTTCAAAGCAGAAGTATCACATGTTTAAATGAAATAGACAAACAAAATCAAAATCAAAACGAAGAAGAAAGAAAAGAAAAGGAAGAAGAAATAACTAAAATGTATGAAGGAATTATGGAAGATCTCAAAGAAGTAAGTGAAACATTTCGATTAAGAGATATAACTAGAAATGAAGAATGTGTTGAAGTGATGAAGAGATGTAATGAAATAATGAAGAGAAGAAATGAATGTTATGAAGAATACAAGAAAGTGTATCGAGAAATAGTTGAAATAGAAATTTCAAATATACCAATAAAAGAAGGAATTGAATTTTGTTGTAAAATCACAGAAGGAGTTTTATTAAGAATGGTGTTAAGTGATTTAATCAAACAAAGCCAATCGAAATTAACAATGTACAAAACACTTCAAATGATTTCAAATGAACAACTAAACCAAACAATACAACAACATAACAAAGAATTAAAAAAAGGAATTATTACAACAAAAGAATGTGTTGTTTGTCATAAAGAAAAGGATGAATTAATCAATGTATTTGGATGTGGTCATAGTTATCATTCAACATGTTTAAAATCATCAGGAATATGTTTAGAATGTAATCATCTTATGACATAATTAGTTTTAATCAACAACGTGATTACATTGTTGTTGTTATATCATTTGAAATGATTATTTGACAATAAATCACATTATTTATTATTATCATTTCTTGTTATCTTTTTATTCATCATAAATCATTTCTTTTGATTAATTGATTGATTTTGATTAATAACATTCATTATGATGAATGGTAAGTCATTTGACCACTCTAAAAAACAAGACCAATAAGAGATAATCAGAAAATGAAAGATGATAGTGAAAAGTGGATGTTTCATTCAAATTTTTTATTTATCATAACTTAAAAATAGAAAAATAAAAAAATCGAATGATTACTATTTTTAAAATAGATTTTTTTTAAATCTTAAAAATATTTTAAGTTGAAATAAAATAAAAATGGAAAATACAACAAGAAACAATAAATCAATAATGAAATTAGGATATAATGAAATAATGATAACATCAATGTACTTTAATGATATTAATGATTTCATTAATTTAGAAATAGGAATTAAAAGATTTCAAGGAAATATTGAACGATTTCATTTTAATCCAATTCCATTAAATGAATATTCAAGAAAATTATTTACTAATATTGAAACATTTCATATTTATAATAAGTATGATGAAATATTTAATAATGGAAGAATATTTAAAAAAGTAATATGGTATAAAGTAGATTATTCAACACATTTAAAAGAAAAAGTAAACATATGTAAAAATATAGATTTTGTATAAAGATAGAAATATATATGGAAATATAATACCATATGAAGTTAAATCAAATCGGTGTTGGTGTTTTTATATTGTAAAAATCTAACACCCATTGTTATTCCAACAACAATTAATAAATTAGTAGAACATTGTTTTGAAGAACGTATATCATTAACATCAATTTATATTCAATCATCAATTACATCATTTGAATATTCATGTTTTTATAAATATGTATGTAAAGAAGAATTAATGAGAATGAAACAATACCAATAAATTCTTTTGATATTATTTAAAGAAGAAATAAAGAAATAATATAATTGAATTGGTTAAGAATAAAAGGTAATTTAATTATATATTTTGAGTGATATGAAATACGTGATAAACAATTCATTTGAAAATAAAACATTCAATGAAATAATCAATTAAATGAAGTGTAATAATTTCATCATTTATTTATTATTGTGTTATGTTGATTTGTTTCTGTTTCTTTTATTTATTATTATTTGTTTCTTTCAATACTTTGTTTGAATACAATTGATTTATATCATTATATTTGATGATGAATATTAATGATAAAAGATTGATAATTATAAAATCAATTAATCATTTCATATTATGAATAAGTAATAATATTAATTCATAATTATTATATAATAATTACTATGTTAATTCAAAATGATAATTTAGATGTTAACACAAATAAGTTGGATGATGGTATTACTTTAAATATCATTCATAATAAATTATTTCATGTATTTTCATTATGATAATATCATTTTGATATGTGTATTCTAATTAAAATACTTTTTAATGAATCACATCATTTGTTTGTGTTTTATATTTGAATATTCATTCATGAACTTCTTAATCTAATGTAGTTGTGTATCTTTTAATTTCATAATGTTCTCAATTAACTATTTATCAAATCATTGTAAAATTGAAATCAATAAAGTTAAGAAGTTGATAATTAACATATACATTTTAACTACTCCATTTCATTTGTATTTAAATTATTCATTCACATTTATATTTCAATATAATTGAATAACGAATAGAATTAAATACAATAATTGATTATAGAAATAAATAATAAGATATTATACATTTTTATAATCATAAAATGAATATAAATCAATGATAATGATGAAGTGATTATATGAAGATCAAATGTGATGAATAATAAATCATGTATGAATATGAATTGTTGATAAATAAAATAAATATATAAGTTGTTATATTTTATATATCATGTTTATTCATTTCTGAAATGAAATAAATGTTATATGAGAAGGAATTCACACTATCTATATTATTTTATTTTGAAATGATGAAATGATTATGTTGTTATTACTATATTGTTTCATACTAACTATACAAACATCATCTAACATCAACAAATTGTTTATAATTATTATTTGATTATCAAAACATTCAATGTTAACATGAATGTTATAAATGAATATGATGAATAATTGTAGTGATATAATTTAATTGATGATCATATTTACATTAGTGTTGATGTTGAACGATAATTGATGATATGAAAATGAACGAATAAGAATAGATGAAATTAACACATTTGTATCTACAAAGAAATAATAATGACTTGGTTAATTTAATCAATTTTGAAAAATGAAATTGATGAATAAATAAAAGTGAAAACAAATAATATGTTTTCATAATGAATAATGATTAAATAACAATAAACAAATAGTTTGATGAAGTATATAATATCAAATTTGATTTATTTGATATGAAAATGAAGAGAATGAGTAGAAATAGTGAATAAAAAAGATGAATAATAAAATGATATTTTCAGATTATAAATAAACAACATTAATATTCTTTTATAAATACAATGTTAAATGAATTGAAATCAACAATATAAACATATGTAAATGAACACATTAATGAACACATAAATAAATGATAATAAATGAAGAAAATGATAATGAAAATATTAATAAGAAATAACCATTATGATTTGTTTAAGAAATTAACAAAATGAAAAAACAAAGAACACAATAAGAGTAAAATGGTAATAGAATAGTAATATAAATAATAATTGATTTAACACATCTTCATACTCACATCTTCATTCATGTATTATTCTTATTATGAATTGAATGTTATTAAAATAATATGTGATTGTTATTATCTTTCAATTTGATATTTACTTCATCTTTTCATCTATTTTAAAATTGGAATCAATGAAATTAAATGAAGAATGAAGAAATATTGAATGATTAATATGTTAAACACACTTCATTTCAAAAAAAGATGATTTAATAAACATGAAAATGGAATAAAATAAAAGAATAAAAATAAAGAAAATAACAAGAAAGATAAAGAAAGAATGAGAATAAAGAATAAAAAGAAATAACATGTTCAATACAACAACATCTTCACATTAATAAACACAATAAATGAGAACAAGAAAATAAAGATAAACAACAACAAGAAAGATAAACAACAATAATAAAATACAAAACATAAAAAGACAAAATAGAAAAGAATAATGAAATGAAAAAGAAATGAAGAATATAAACAAGAAAAGAAGAAATAGAAATGATAAAGAATAAGATAAAATAAATTGAATAATATGAATAATGAATGAAATGATAAATGAATGGTTGACTAATAAACGAAACACTTCATATATCTCAAAAAACAAAAGAATAAATAATAAGAAAGAAAAAAATAAGAAAGAGAAATGAAAAGGAATATAAATGATAATTAATTATCATTTACTTCTACTTCAAATTACACCGCATTTCATTTGTTATCATTTGTTTTATTGTTTCATTCATTACTATATCAAAAGAATTTATTGGTATTGTTTCATTCTCATTAATTCTTCTTTACATACATATTTATAAAAACATGAATATTCAAATGATGTAATTGATGATTGAATATAAATTGATGTTAATGATATACGTTCTTCAAAACAATGTTCTACTAATTTATTAATTGTTGTTGGAATAACAATGGGTGTTAGATTTTTACAATATAAAAACACCAACACCGATTTGATTTAACTTCATATGGTATTATATTTCCATATATATTTCTATCTTTATACAAAATCTATATTTTTACATATGTTTACTTTTTCTTTTAAATGTGTTGAATAATCTACTTTATACCATATTACTTTTTTAAATATCTTCCATTATTAAA